AAGGCACTTTAAGGAACTCCCCCCCCCCCCCCCCCCCATCCCAAAATTGTTTGCCGATATCTGTACTATTGAAGTCAGTTTTATTTTCACCTTTGCATGCCCGCACTTGTAAGGCTTTCGTCAGTTGGAAGATTTAGCACAGGGAAAAATGTTTAAACAAGCCTTAAGTATTTACGTCATTTTATATTTTAAAACCCACAAATTGTTTATAGACCCTCATCATTACCGCAATAGTCAGGACCATCATTGTCTATTTTTATTTCAATTAAAAAGACTTAAACCAGCAGAAAATAATTTTGCATTTTAAATTGTCATTTTGTTTATAGGTCTACGGGGCCTTTGGTAGCATCTTTAAGATAAAGCCAATATGAGCAGGTTGTGCACTGTGCTTGTGGACCATTCTTACTGTGAAATCCCCCGAGAACTGGACTCTTGGCTGAAGGGACTCTGGAATAAACCTCTCCTAAATGTGTTTGCTTTGTTGACGAATTACTGCTTTGGGATGGCCTATAATAGACGATTAAAAGACGATTATCAAGAGATAGAGACTCGGGGGTGTTTTGACAAAGAGCCATTTATAATGAGGATCATGCTGTGGGAAAAGACAAGTCAAGAGCGGACTGAAGTCACAATCAGAGGAAGGAAATTGAACTGGATCGGACATGCGTAGAGGAAGGACCAACAGAACTTCACGCGGCAAACCTTAGATTGTAACCCACAGGGAAAATTTTGGAGAAGGATCAAAAGCTGATCATGAGGAAAACCCGCGCAAAGCTAAAAACCACTTGGAACAACGTACTCTGATCTGAGGTGTATTCAGGCTTTGATCGGTGCTAGCATAAGTTTTGGGATAATTCTTCAAGCACGAGCATAATAATATTCACCTATTTTCAAAAAAAAAGCCCCAGATCAGTAGTCATTTTTACAGGCAAATTTTAGCAACAAAATCAGTTTTTGGTTAGTCAGTTGCTATACTGAGCCGTTTTTAGTGTCGTCACGTGAGCTTTGCGTGACGACACTAGAAAGCGGTTGTGTAGAAGACTAGTTTTTGGTCTGCTTATTGTTTCATTCATGTCATTCATGGGGTTTGGTCCAAGAGGAAGTGACTCAGTTGTGACTAAGTTTTTGAGTTTGTAGAGATGTCAGACAATGAATTATGAACATAGAAGCATAATTTCTCCATTTTTTGAATGAGCGTAATTTACAAAAACTAGCATAAATATCATGATTGGCGTAATTTTGAAGAATATGCGAGCACTGCTGTTAGCTTATTACAAAAGAGAATTATTATGCTTCTTTTGCGAGCACAATCTGTCAAAGCTAGCTTAGGCGTATTAACATTTTGTGGAATGAGGCCAAACCCATGGCCACTGCCCAGAATTGCAAACGTTTTCGAAACGTCATCTGTTACGCCTCCTTGGAGAGCAACCAGCACTAAGGCCAAGGGGTTATGGAATGGAGGCATGTGCGGATGGACCAGGAGATGATTTTACAGATTCACCAACCAGTCCTCTTAAAGAAAACCCAAAGCCAGCTCCAAGACGCTACTTAAGCCAGGGTAGTCAGCTTCAGTGCCCCAACTGCAAAAAGTTGTTCCCTCACGACTTGCTGGAGAATCACATGAGAGATTGTACTGGCGACGATTAATGTAGGCCAGCTGGCATGGGCAGGATAATGACAAGATTATAAGAACTTTTCTGGTTATTTTTCTGCTCATGCAAGCTGGTATGGATGAAGCGTAACACCAAGGAAGTCCTGAAGGACTTATTCCTCTCAATGGAGTGGATTGAACAGCGTCAAGTCGGCAGCTGTCTCTACGAAGTCAAAGTTATGAAGAAGGCTTACCACTATAAAGTGACATGGCTTTTGCAGCCATGATGACATTGTTATTTTATTGAAACGAGCTTGGGGCAATAAACAATTGAAGTTCTGCAGATACATGTACGTATGGATTATCACTGATAAAAAATCAATGGGGAAAGACTGAGAAGTACAATGCACATGTATGTGCTGACTTTGGTGTGGTGAGCTCTGCAAGGTAATGGAATACATCAAACTAAGAAGAAGAACACACAATTCTAATACCAGCATCATTTGTAGATTTTGTTATCTTATCTACATGTATTTGGGTTTGTTGCAGTCGCTTCTAATATTTCCAGTTTAGAATCTCTTTGCGAAGGAAAACAGAAAGGCAGTTAATGGCACTGAGATATCTTGGATAGTTTGGATTTTGCCTGTATTAATAATGTGATTTTCCATAGTCTGTCTCTAATTGACCACAGAAGTGACATCAAAATGTTCAAAACTAAAGTGGAACCACAAGCTGCAACCTAGTGGTTTCACTGTAAAGTTTTGAACATTTTCACGTCATTTCTATGGTCAATAAGAGAATAGACCATGCAAAATTAGTCCCATGTTTAAGGTTCTCCAAAAATTACATGCGAGAGAAGCAAGTGCCCAGTCTCCTGATGGTTGTGGACTGGATGATACTGAAAGTGTGGCTTAGCTTATGCAAACCTTAAAACACAAATTGCAAGTACAATGAGAGTGTTGATGAATCTTTTGAGTATGCAATGCATGAAGTCATACTGTCAAAAAAAGAGGAAAAAAAACTCCTTTCTTTGTACGAAGCAAAAAAAACAAAAGTCGCAGTACTATGGTATGATTACATGTAAGTAATGCATGTGGTATACCGTAATTCATCATTATGATCAAAACTCATTATTATACTTTATATTAATTTTTTATGATGACTATGTATCGAAATGTTTGATTGGCATACATGTGAAGCTGTGCTATGCTGAAAAATGATGTAATGCGTTTTTTCTCGAAGTTTCTCGCTTGATTGCTTGGTTTTAATAAATCTGTTATGTCTTTTGCACGCTTTGATCATGGAAATATCTTTAAACGAAGAGGAACCTTAAAAGTTTGAGGAAATAGAAGAATTCAAGGATCTTCCCTGTAGCTCTTTTCGTTTGATTTCTCATTAGTTTCAGTTCTGGTTTTGCATTATAATTATAGGACCTGAAAATTGTATTTTGAACCAAAAATATTTCACTAAGTTTATTCTCATTAATTTTTTCTATGAGTTGTTTACGTTTCTAGTTTTAACTTGTAGTAAAACTACAGTAAGCACCTACTAAGTAGTCACTGAAACTAAGTTAGACAGATTTTGCTTAAGCTACGGTGGTTGTGTTCCTTAAATAAAAGTACCCGCAGTTATAACGTTATATGAAAAAAGTTATATATAAAAATCGGTTTCTTTAAATTCTTAAAGAACACTGGGATGTATATATTTCTATTGTTGATTATTATTTTTCTTGTTAATATTCGTTACTCTTTTTTGACTTGTCGTCAAAACTCGTTGCAATTCTTTTATGCAATATGAAGAGTGTAATTAAGCGAAATAGAGTACTGCATAAACAATAAAGAACTTGTGGTGCACTAAGTGTGCGTTTATTGTCGATTTCACGACAGGTGGGAATTTTGATTCCCTTAAATATCATTTTCATGTCTGGTAGTCACTTCTGGATTTTTCTCAAGCTCGGGAAAAAAAAAGGGCTATTCGCATGTTTGCGGGGGAGTGGGGGGAGGGGGTGGTGTTTGCTGTGGTACTTAGCAAAGTCTTATACAGGCATACGAGAGGCTCCGCCCCAAAGTCCAACCCCTTTCCCTTTCACATAACATTTTTGAGAGAAAAGCTACCCCTTTCTTTTAATAACCCCTCTATTGGCAATTTTTAAGCCCTTCACATTCCTAGTTTAGAACTTTGCATCTCTTAACTGCTGTTAATGCACTAACAAAAATCAAAAAAATCAGAACTCTTTCTCGACCTTTATTCAGCCACTGACATATTGGATCTGTTAGTTAGCCGTTTTGGGCCTTTTCACAGACCGAAATGCATGGGAAAGATTTCCCTTCCCTTTCAAATACTTCAAATAGTGTACATAAACCTGAAGTTTGAAAAGGGTACCTCCTTTCGGGCGGAGCCTCCAAGTATAGGCCATTATAGGGAGTACCCCCTCCCCCCCCCCCCCCCCCCAAAATTGTTTGCCGATATCTGTACTATTGAAGTCAGTTTTATTTTCACCTTTGCATGCCCGCACTTGTAAGGCTTTCGTCAGTTGGAAGATTTAGCACAGGGAAAAATGTTTAAACAAGCCTTAAGTATTTACGTCATTTTATATTTTAAAACCCACAAATTGTTTATAGACCCTCATCATTACCGCAATAGTCAGGACCATCATTGTCTATTTTTATTTCAATTAAAAAGACTTAAACCAGCAGAAAATAATTTTGCATTTTAAATTGTCATTTTGTTTATAGGTCTACGGGGCCTTTGGTAGCATCTTTAAGATAAAGCCAATATGAGCAGGTTGTGCACTGTGCTTGTGGACCATTCTTACTGTGAAATCCCCCGAGAACTGGACTCTTGGCTGAAGGGACTCTGGAATAAACCTCTCCTAAATGTGTTTGCTTTGTTGACGAATTACTGCTTTGGGATGGCCTATAATAGACGATTAAAAGACGATTATCAAGAGATAGAGACTCGGGGGTGTTTTGACAAAGAGCCATTTATAATGAGGATCATGCTGTGGGAAAAGACAAGTCAAGAGCGGACTGAAGTCACAATCAGAGGAAGGAAATTGAACTGGATCGGACATGCGTAGAGGAAGGACCAACAGAACTTCACGCGGCAAACCTTAGATTGTAACCCACAGGGAAAATTTTGGAGAAGGATCAAAAGCTGATCATGAGGAAAACCCGCGCAAAGCTAAAAACCACTTGGAACAACGTACTCTGATCTGAGGTGTATTCAGGCTTTGATCGGTGCTAGCATAAGTTTTGGGATAATTCTTCAAGCACGAGCATAATAATATTCACCTATTTTCAAAAAAAAAGCCCCAGATCAGTAGTCATTTTTACAGGCAAATTTTAGCAACAAAATCAGTTTTTGGTTAGTCAGTTGCTATACTGAGCCGTTTTTAGTGTCGTCACGT